GAAGATCTATGTGTCTACGAAACAAACCACGGATTTACAGAAAGCAAATACGCGATTATGTGGCTCTAACTTTCAGCTCTGAGTCCAGGACCACAAAGCAGCGGCAGGTACCATGTCCTGGTGGCTGGGGCAGGCTTCTGAGAGCGGTGCCCACACTGGAGCTGGAGGATGGATTTGGGGAGAGGGGATGGAGAGGAGATGGAGTGAGAGGTGGGAGGTGGGCACGAGGGGCACTGCGGGGAGACTCCTGGGGCCACCCTGGGGACGGTTGGTGAGCCAGTCCCCGGCCAGGAAGTCCCGGTTCCAATGCCAGGCTTTGTCTGGGGAGCCCTCATCCCCACAGCAAGTCGGGGCCCGGGCCTGGCATGGGGCATGTGGACCATGTCCCTCATCTCCAGGATCTCTTTCCCCTCCAGCGCATGAGCAGCCCAGCCTGCTGACCGCCGCTCCCCGCCTGTCCATCCTGCCACAGCCACACCATGTCCGGCTCCTACGACGAGGCCTCTCTTGCTCCAGAGGAGACCACCGACAGCTTCTGGGAGGTGAGGCTTTGATACTCCCCACGTCCTGGGGACCAGACGGCGTAGCCTGGCTGTGGAGGCCCAGGCTCCAGCCACCTCATGGCCTCAGGCCTTGCTCCCCAGCCCCTCGGGCCTCTCCAAAGCCCTCCATGTCCAACAGGCTACGACCACCCACTGAGCCCAGGGCCCCCTGCCCACACCTGCCCCTGGGGACATCCCCTGGTATTTCATGGTGTAGAACAGGCCCCTCCTGGCCCTCTGCTCTGGGGGCGCTGGCTCAGAGTCCTGGCACTTTACAGCTCACACAGCCTTTCACAGCGGCCCCCTGTCCCTCCCTGTGGAGTAAGCAGAGGCGGAGCACTGGTCCCAGGGAAATGGAGTGGAGACAGGCCAGTATTTCAGAGCCTCCCAAAATATTTGAAACCCAGAAAATGTCTTTTCTATTGGCTTATGAAACCCAAAGTGGAAACTGCCAAACCTAAATTAATAAGTGTTTAATGAGATGTCTACAAAACATAATATTATGTCAAGAAGTTGCAGCTCAACTCAATGCTTATGACTCTATATAAATAGATTTAGCTCATAAGAATGAAATGAATAATTCATTTGGCCCAAGTCCAAATTATAAAAAACCTTCTGTATTTGTGGCAGCGACAAAATTGTATTTAAAGTGTGAGGAGGGAGTGTATAGACAGGGGTGTGAGGAGGGGTGCCAAGTCTTTGAAAAGTCAGAGGGTCCCAAGGCGCACTGGGATGGTGGTGGTGGGCGCCGCCTGCAGGACGCGGCGGCCAGAGCGGGCGATCGCCACGGGCGGGGAGGCGGGGAACCATGCGAGTTCTGCACGCTGCTTGGCCGCCAGGTGGGGAACTACAAGCGGACAGTGAAGCGCATCGATGACGGGCACCGCCTGTGCAATGATCTGATGAACTGCGTGCAGGAGCGCGCCAAGATCGAGAAGGCCTACGCGCAGCAGCTCACCGACTGGGCCAAGCGCTGGCGCCAGCTCATCGAGAAAGGTGCTGCCCTCCCTCTCCCCCCCGCCCGTGCCCATCCCCTGCGCACATCCCGGACCCTAACCCCACTGTCTGGATCCTGGGAGCACCCAGCCACCTGGATGCACCTGCAGCCTCCAGCCACAGGGCCTCTGTCCCCACACCTGCACCCCTCCCCTCCCAGACCAAGACAGGTCTCCCTGCACTTCAGCTCCACTTTGGACAATTTTTGTTTGGATATAAAAACAAACAAACAAAAAATACCCAAACTTTGTATTTTGAAATAATTTTAACTCAGAGAAAAGTTACAAGAATAGAACTACATACCCTTTACCCGGATTCACCAGTTAACATTTTACCACATTGGTCTTACCCCTATTTATATGCGTGTTTTTTTAAACATTTCCATTGGAGACACGCCCCTTCACCCTAAATTCCTCATGTATCTCCTGAGAATATGAACACTCACTTATGTAGCCGTGGTTCAGCTATCAAATTCAGGACATCTACTACGGGCCATATGCGAGTTTTATTATAGCCATTGTTTGCTGGTCCAGGGTCCAATTCAGAATCAGATACTGCATTTAGTTGTCATGTCGCTAGATTCCTTTAATCTAGAACAGTTTCAAATTGAAGTTTACATATATTGATTAATGTTTTTTCTCTTCCACTAGACTCCAAATTCCATGAGGGCTAGGGCTGGGCCTATACTGCCTAGTACACTGCCTGGCACAGAGTTGATGCCAGTATACAGAGGAACAGACTGGGATGTCTGGTCCCAGTAGCCTCCGGGTATCTGTCACCAGTTGGCTCTTCAGTTTTGCATTCAGCCAACATTCCTGGAGTACCTACTGTGTGCCTGGTGCTGTGCTGGGCTTGTGAGAGCTCACAGGGCTGAGGCTGCCCCCCTCCCCCCTCCCGGGGCTCACAAGCTGACAGGGAAGATAGGATGGAGACAGAGAGGCAGATGTATAAGAATTCAGTGAGGGCTGCAGGCCGAGGTGTGTGACAGAGCAGTCAGACAAGCCTTTCTGGCGGAGGTGGCTGTACTCGGGCCCTGGAGGATGGAGAAAACTGTAGGGAGAGCGGAGGAGGGTGGTGCGAGGGGGGCCTCTAGGCAGGGGATCATGCAGGCCTCGGGACCCCATGGCCATCTCCTCAGGCCCACAGTATGGCAGCCTGGAGCGGGCCTGGGGTGCCATCATGACGGAGGCGGACAAGGTGAGCGAGCTGCACCAGGAGGTGAAGAACAACCTGCTGAACGAGGACCTGGAGAAGGTCAAGAACTGGCAGAAGGATGCCTATCACAAGCAGATCATGGGCGGCTTCAAGGAGACCAAGGAGGCTGAAGATGGCTTCCGCAAGGCCCAGAAGCCCTGGGCCAAGAAGATGAAGGAGGTGCCCAGTGGGCGGATGCTACAGATGGGGCGAGGGTGGGCGGCTGAGCTCAGAGGGCCGGTCTGACCAGAGGGAGGGGGTCTACAGGTGGGGTGGCAGTGCACTGCTCTCTGGGGTTGTGCCATGGGGGAGCAGGCCGTATCCCCAGACAGGGCAGGCACTGCCGTGCCCACCAGGAGTGTGTCCGGGGGCAGCAGGCTGTGCCGTGCAGGGAGACCTCCACAGGTGGGCACTGCTCCCAAATACCGGGAGCCAGGGCCTGCATCCCTTCTGCCTCTTAAGACTGTGCTCACAGCTCCTGGCAGAGCGGGCAGGTGGGAGGGTTGACGAGTGGCCACATTTGCTCCTGCTCACAAGTAGGAGGCCTGCCGCCTGTTCTGCTTCCCCACAGCTAGAGGCAGCCAAGAAGGCCTACCATCTGGCCTGCAAAGAGGAGAAGCTGGCCGTGACACGGGAGATGAATAGCAAGACGGAGCAGTCCGTCACCCCCGAGCAGCAGAAGAAGCTGCAGGACAAAGTGGACAAGTGCAAGCAGGACGTGCAGAAGGTGCCAGCCGGGCTGGGCTGAGGGCCCTTGGAGTGGGCGGGGCTGGCCGCTGCGGGCCTGGGTCTCACCCCCCCCTCCCCCCGTGTCTGGTGCCTATAGACGCAGGAGAAGTATGAGAAGGTGCTGGATGAAGTGGGCAAGACCACACCTCAGTACATGGAGGGCATGGAGCAGGTGTTTGAACAGTGCCAGCAATTTGAGGAAAAGCGGTTGGTCTTCCTCAAGGAGGTGCTGCTGGACATCAAACGTCACCTGAACCTAGCCGAGAACAGCAGGTAGCTGGGCGGGGCCGCACAGTGGCCCGGGCACAGCCAGCAGAGGGTAGAACGGGGGTGCGAGGCATCCCGGGCCCCATGTTACAGTGACAGGAAGGGGAGGGCTGAGCTGCAGGGGCCCAGAGAGAAGAGGCTCCGAGCCCAGTGGCTGCCTGGTGCAAGCCGATGCACACTAGGTGCTTAAGGCACATGTGCGGACAGATGGGTGGGTGGCTAAGGGGGAGGGGCGCAAAGGGTGGCCGCTGGGCATGCCCACATGGAGACTGCTCCTGGGGAAGCCTGCCTGATTCCCAGCTGGGGGCCAGCACCCTGGTCCCCTGAGTGGGCTCCTGCCCTCACCAAGGATGAGAGAGGCCATGTGCATCTTGCCCCCCAACCCCCGTCTCCCTGTGCGCAGCTATGTCCATGTGTACCGGGAGCTGGAGCAGGTCATCCGGGGGGCCGACGCCCAGGACGACCTCCGATGGTTCCGCAGCACCAGCGGCCCTGGCATGCCCATGAACTGGCCCCAGTTTGAGGTAAGGATGTGTGGGGGTGGGGAAGGAGTCTGAGAAGGCTGGAAGGGGCCTCGGGGAGCACCCCCAGCTTGACCGCTCCCCTGGCACCCACCAGGAGTGGAACCCAGACCTCCCTCACGCCACCGCCAAGAAGGAGAAGCAGCCTAAGAAGGCAGAGGGGGTGGCGCTGACCAATGCCACTGGGGTGTTGGAGTCCACATCCCAGGCTGGCGACCGTGGCAGGTGAGTGTCTCCTGTGGCGCTTCCTACAGGCCAGGAATCGCTGGGGTTTTACCATAAGACACAGAAATGGTCTAAATCACAGCGACCTCATTCTCCTTTCAAAAATAGTGATAGCTAATCCTTTGAGAGCACCTACTGTGTGCTCTCACTGAAGCCTGCAGCATTCTGAGAAGCATGTAAATATTCCCATTTTACAGATGGAGAAACTGATACCCAGAGAAGTTAAGTGATTGCAGAAGGTCACACAGCTGGTTACTAAGCCTCAGAGCCAGGATATGATGCCCAAGAGTCTGGCCCCAGAATCGTCACTCTTAACCACTAGATTGTACTGCCCCTCTCCGAGGAGGAGTGAGATGTTCTCTGGGGTCTCCTTCAGCACCCCCTCACTCTAAGGCTGAATAAGAATGCTAATAGTCTCCCATCTGTTTAAAGAGCTGTCAGTGAGGTCATTGGCTCAGGACCCCTCTTACAAAGCCCGCCCCTGCTCCAGGCTTGATGAAATGTGGGGCCAGCGCTCTGGCTGGGCGGAGGGGCAGAGCTGGGCACGAGGTGAGAGGCAGTTCACGCTGGGCCCTCTCTGCTTCTCAGCGTTAGCAGCTATGACAGGGGCCAGCCTTACGTCACTGAGTGGTCAGACGACGAGAGCGGGAACACATTTGGGGGCAATGAGGCCAATGGGGGCGCCAACCCTTTCGAGGACGACGCCAAGGGGGTGCGTGTGCGGGCGCTCTACGACTACGACGGCCAGGAGCAGGACGAGCTCAGCTTCAAGGCTGGTACGATGGGCGGGGCCTGAAGGCGGGGCGGGGCCTGAGGGCGGGGCGCGCGGGGATTGGCGGCGAGTGCGCCGTGGGCGGGGCCTGGCGCGGGGTGTGGCCAGGACCTGGCGTGTGACCTCAGCCCGGGGGGCCTAGACTTCACTAGAGAGTGGTCGCTGGATGCCCGGGGCGGGGTCAGGACCTCAGAGTAGCGCTGGGGGTTAGGCCCGACCTGGATTGGGGGTCCCAGACTACTGACCTGGGAAATGAAGCTGGAGGCGGATGCCTGGGTGTGGCTGGGGCTGGTCCCCTGGGGCAGGCTTTGGGGCGATAATGGGGAAGGGTTTGGGGAGGGCCCAGCATCAGAGTATGGGAGGGCCACCCCGCGGTGTGGGCCGGGGGACGCCCTCCCGAGCCCCTGTCAAGGAGCTCCTCTGTGTCCCCTTCCCAGGAGATGAGCTCACCAAGCTGGGCGAGGAGGATGAGCAGGGCTGGTGCCGCGGGCGGCTGGACAGCGGGCAGTTTGGCCTCTATCCCGCCAACTACGTGGAGGCCATCTAGCTGCCTGCTCCCCTCCACACACCCCTCACTCCCCCCCACCTCCCCTTCTTTCCCACTCTGTCACCCCCCCTTGCCATAGAGTTCCAGACATATTTTACGATCAAGCTTTTATTTTTTTAAAAGTCAAAACAGAACAAAACAAAAAATACGAAGAGATGGAGCATCTGCAGGGCCGCCAGGAGGCCCGGCTGGTGGGACTGGGTGACGGCCCCTGGGTAGGTGAGGGTCTCGGGCTTAGCCCAGCAGAGACATCACAGTATCCACGCTTCGATCCCACCAGTCTCCTGAGCTCAGAGATGTCTCCTGGACCCTTCTAACCGCGTCACTGCCCCTCCCCAGGCTGCCAGCACCTGTCCCGCCCTGCTTCCCCTGGCAGGTTTCTGACTCCTCCTCCCGCCCCACCCTCCTCCTTCCCCCACAAGGGGCTGCCCGGTGTTTAGTCTTCCGCTGTGCTCTGGGGAGTGCCCTGCCCGGTCTCACCCTCGGGACTGGTGGCCCTGGAGGAGGAATGGTCACCTTCTCCCAGAGGTGTCCAGGTGTCCCCGTGAAGAGGTCCCGCTGCAGGTGGTGACAGTGTCACTGTGGTGTAGGCGTGAAGGGGGGCAGGCCCTCGGTCCTTCAGCACCAGGCTCAGCTGAGGGACCAGGACTCTGCTAGGGCCCTTCTTCCCAGCTGCCCATCCTTCAGAGCCGCCCCCTTCGGCATTTGCAGAGACACGAACCCCCATCCCAAGTCCTAGGCAGGGGGGAGGGGCCCCAACGCCCAGGGCAAAGCCAGCAACAGTAGCAGCTTCCTCCCATTTCCCGGGAGGAGGGCATCTTGCTCACCCACCCTCCCTCCCTGCACACCCATCTAAAGCCAGAGCCTCATGGGTTCAGCCAGCCTTCAGACCGAGCCTTGGGGCCTCCCATTCCGCTCCCCTTCTCTGGCCTGCCTGGGGAGACACCGCAGCCGTGGGAGCTTCCAGCCTGGGCCCCTCTGGGAAAGCCCGCAGCCAATAGGAGAGGCATGGGGTTGGCAGGAGGGAGGAGCCCTGGCCCAGGAGCAGGGCAGTCACGGAGTCTTTCTTCCTTGTCCTGTCCCCACAGTCACAGCCCTAGCCCGGAGCACCATGCCCCTGCTGGCAGCTCCCGGCCCCACCTCTCCAAGCCGGGGTCTCAGCTTGAGGAGTTTGGGGTGGAGGAGCAGGGCCTGCCCAGAGCGGCTTTCCTGTGGCTGTGAAGGAAAGTGGTGCTGGGTTACGGGGGGTTACTACTTGGGAGTGAGGGCGGGTGCTTGGGAAGCAGGCCAAGGCAAGACAAGACCCCAAGAGGAGGGGCCTGGCTGGGCGGGAGTCTCCCAGAGCCGGGGGTGAGGCCTTGAGACTCCCTGCGGTACCAGGGGAGCCACTGGGCCTCAGGACTGCAGACCCCTCTCCGCTCCCATAGCACCTGGCCCCCTGGGCCTCTAGGTGAAGACAGCGTGAGACCCCAGCCCCGCTGTCGCCCCTCAGCCTCCTGCTCCTCGCTTCTCCCCACAGCCCCCGTCAGGTCAGACCCCGGCCTCAAGCCTGGCCCTGTCCATGTGAGCACAGAGGGTCTCAGCAGACTGGCCAGGGCCTGAGCTGGGGCAGGCCTCCCTCAGGGCCAGGGAGGGGGGTGGGGACAATAGCACCCCTAGGGACAGGCACACTAGCCCCCCACAGCACCCCCTTTCTTGTCACTGCTCTCTGAGCCTCTGTTACATCCTGAGGTGTGTCCTAGACCCCTCAGAGCCCGGAGCGAGATTCCGGAAACCCTCAGCCCCCCCAACTCCAGAACAAAAGCCCCTCCGCCCCTCCAAGCAGGAGCTGGGGTGGGGGCCTCTGCCTTCACCACCTGCCCCTGGAAGTCAGGAAGCTGCCACCTTTGCACCATGGGGCCTGGGCTCCCCCTCTCTGTGCCAGTAGCTTCCTAGCACCTGGGGAGGGGCGGTGCCCTGCTGTCCCCTCAGCACTCTAGCTGCCCACTCCCGGGCAGGGACTCAAAACCCCATTCCTTCTGAGCATTCGGTCCCAGGTTCCTCAGGCCTGGAGCGGAGCATCTCACGTGGAAGACCCCCTGAGCTCCCGGGCCCGGACCCCCGGTCAGTGCTGGTGTCAGGGCCCTCAACTCCGCGTAGCGGCGGAGCCCCTCACTGTGCCCACCAACTCCTGTAGCTGCAGCGCCCGCCATCGGGCTCAGCGAGTAACGTGTTTCATCCCAAGTCAACCACGTCTCAGCCTGGCTCTGCAAGAGGCCGGGGCTGCCCTGCCACGTCTGCCACCCGGCTCCTGACTTCATTAGTCCGACACTTGTGACACTCCGAGAAGTGCTGTGGTCTCAGCAATGCACCTGTTTTGTACATGATTGTGTAATTTAAAGGTATATAAATATAAATTATATATATAAATATATAAGCTGTGATTGTATGACTGTGGATAAAACCAGAACTGTGTCAACCTGGCTGGGTGTTGTGATCTTGAGTCATGTGTCTTTTGAGGCCTGTGGTTGGATGTCAGGGGGTCGGGGAGTGCCCAGGACAGGATGACTGGGGGCTGCCCGGCTGACCACCAATGGGCTGGGGAACTGAGGGCTGGTCCCTTCGCCTTCCAGGGCCCCGGGTCCTGCCTGTGGGGGGACAGTTACATCTGAGGCTCCTGAGTAGCCATAAGGGTCCCGGGTGCCTGGGGATGAGCACTGACCAGGGGAGCTGGACAAGCGGAGTCCCAGACTCATGGCTCAAGGGTGAATTTGACCCTTGACCAGGTTTCAATTTTTTTAAAAATTCCTCATCCAAGGATATATATACACAATTTTTAAAAAAATTTTATGGAGGGAGGGAGAAAGATAGAGGGATAGAGAGAGAGAGAGATCGATTGGTTGCTTCCTGTACATTCCCCAACCATTTGGCCAGCTGCCCTGCCCTTCATTGGGGTAGGAGAGTCTGATCAGGGGCGGGCCGCCCAGGGGGAGGGGTCGAGGGAGGTTGGCTGGCTGGCCCCTCCCCCTGATTGCTGGTTCGCCGACCACAGTGGGCATCATAGCGACCTATCATTCGGTCATTTGGTCGTTATGGTCGTTACGGCATTTAGAGAGAGAGAGAGATCGATTGGTTGCTTCCTGTACATTCCCCAACCTGAAACCTAGGTATGTGCCCTGAGTGGGAATCAAACCCAAAATTTTTGGTGTAGCAATTTCCCAAGTTTTAAAGCAAAATTCTAAAAGTGATTACTAACAGATTGTGGCATCTCAGAGGGAAGGCGGGGGAGGAGGAGGGTGGGAAGTGATCAACCAGAAAACTTGTATGCATATATGCATAAGCCATGGACCAGACAATAGGGTGGTGAAGGCCTGGGGCGGGGGCCGGGGGCGGCTAGAAGGGGTCAATGGGGATAAAGGGGACATACGTAAGACTTTCAACAATAAACATTTTTTTTAATAAACATTTTTTAAAATAAAAAAATAAAATAAAATCAGATATTTATATCCCATATAATAAAAGGATAATATGCAAATCGACCAAACAGCGGAACGACCGGTCACTATGATGTGCACTGACCACCCGGGGTAGACACTCAATGCAGGAGATGCCCCCAGGTGGTCAGTGTGCTCCCACAGCGGGAGTGCCACTCAGCCAGAAGCTGGGCTGATGGTTGGCAAGGGCAGCTGCAGTGGTAGGAGCCTCTCCTGCCTCCACAGCAGTGCTAAGGATATTTGACTGCTGGCTTAGGCCCGCTCCCTGCCCGTCAGTCTGACATCCCCCAAGGGCTCCTGGACTGCGAAAGGGGTAGGCCAGCTGAAGGACCCCTACCCCAGTGCACCAATGTCGTGCACTGAGCCTCTAGTTTTATTATTATTATATTACTAGAGGCCCAGTGCATGAATTCGTGCACAGGTGGTGTCCAGCCTCCCCGGCCCCAATTGGGGAGGATTGGGGCTGGGCCTGTCAGGAGGAGAAGATGGCAGTAGGTTGGCTGGCTGGCCCGCCCGATCAGGTCTAATCAGGGCCGGGCCAGCTGGGGTGAGGGGCCATGGGTGATTGGCCGGAGGGCCCCGCAGCGATTTGGATGGGGAGACCG